GAGCCGGTGGGGGGGCCGCAGCTGAGGCAGCCGGGGCTGTGAGTGCCGAGGCGGCTGGGACTACAAGGGCCGAGGCAGCTGGGACTATGAAGGCCTACCCTTGCATGAATTTTGGGCACCGGGCCTCTAGTTCTATATAATAAAAGCCTAACTTGCTAAGTGCCCAGTAGTCCGTTCAACCAGTCAAAGTGTAATATGCTAATGATATGCTAAGGATGCTCAACTGCTCGCTATCATGTGCACTGACCACCAGGGGGCAAATGCTCCGACCAGTAGGTTAGCTTGCTACTGGGGTCCCATGTGGACACACCCTGGAGCCCTCTTGCAGTTCCCCCCACCTCCCCTGTTGGCCAACCTCCCATATCCCTTCCCGGCCCCGATCATGCACCAGTGGGGTCCCTGCGTTCTTGCCCAATCCAGGACCCCTCAGGGGATGTCAAAGAGCTGGTTTCGACCCGATCTCGCAGGCCAGGCCAAGGGACCCCACTGGTGCATGAATTTGTGCACTGGGCCTCTAGTGTAATAAATAAAACTTCTCTAAAGAGCAATATGTATTAAGATCTATAAAAATAATTTTCCCCTCTGACCCAGTATTTCTCTTCTAGAAATGTAGCCTAAGGAAATTGATTGATTTATGTTAAGATTCTTCATTGTAGTGCTATTTATAACAAAAAGTAGAAAACATCCTAAAATGTCCAGCAATCAGACCACAATTACATTGTTAGGTTCATATGATTTATATTATTTTCTAACATTTAATGGCAGGGGAAGTTGTTAAGTGGAAAAAAAATGATACTGCATTTTATATATAGTTGATCCAAATTCTGTAAATAAATAAATGCTAGAGGAATTTCTTTATTATTTTTTTAAAATATATTTTTATTTATTTCAGAGAGGAAGGGAGAGGGAGAGAGAGATAGAAACATCAATGGGAGAAAATCATTTATCGGCTGCACCCTGCACACCCCACACTAGGGATTGAGCCCACAACCCGAGCCCGCAACCCAGACATGTGCCCTGACCGGGAATTGAACTGTGATTTCCTGGTTCATAGGTTGATGCTCAACCACTGAGCCATGCCGGGCTTTATTTTTTTAAATAAATAGGTAAACTAATAAGTGCAGGAAGAAAGTTACACAATATTAATAAGGATTCTCAGAATATTAGATTTCTTGTAGAATTTCAGTTAATATATGTATCAGCTATTGGATACATATTAGGATTAAATTATTACCAATTTTGTAATCCTTATGAAATAATGGATCTAAGCCTCCTGATGAAAGAACACACCACTATCTGTGAAATAACTCTTGCTAAAAAACTGGATTTGATCTGATTAAGCCTCTAGATTAGATCCAATGTTCAATTTATAGGAAATATGAGGCAGGAGAACATGTTAGTAACACAGGGATTCAGTCAACAAACCCAGACTGTGGGAAACTTTATACAGCAAATGACCTAGTTTCTTCAACAAATAAATTTAAGAAAAGAGGGTGGGAGGCGTGCAGTAGGGGTGGGGTGAAGGGAGTGGCTGTAGATTAAAAAATACTTGAAATGCACTGACCAACACAGTGTGTGAACCTTTCGTTGGATTATCGATCGAACAAACTGTAGGTAAGAAGTAGCTCAACAATAAAACATGAGACAATTAGAAATTTGAACACTAATTAAATATTTGGTGCTATTCGGGAATATATGTCTCATTCCCTCTAGCAAAGTAAGACGTCATGTCAATTAGGTGATACATTTCCTACAATAAGATGTACCTGCCATAGCTCTCTGGCCATATTCAAGAGTTGTATTTTTTATCATATTTGTATTAAACTGCCTTTTTTTATATTAAAGATATTTGATATCAATAGACAGAAGAGGTGGCCCTTCAGTGGCCAAGGAGACTGTTAAACTTGCTGAAGAATTCTTCCTTTCTACTAAAGATACAGTTATTGGCCTTGATCTCAGTGGAGACCCTACAGTAAGTTATTTTTCCTAAATACATTTTATTTCTAAAAAAGTCAAATTAGTTTGTGGGACAAGGATAACCAGAATGCATACAGCAACTATCCTCAACCAGGATTCTGTGAAAGAATTAAGCCCCATAAAAAAGCAAAAAAAGATTTGCATGACAATATGATTTTTTTCTCCATTTTTCTAAAGATGGTACACAGCCAGTTCCAGACTACATACATAGGAGAGAAGTCAGTTCATTTTATACAGTGGATGTCTAATGCTTAATTGTCTAGAGCTTAATTATCTCATAGAACCCCCAGTTGAGAAAGGCTGGCCTAGAGCTTCTTTTTTTTTTTTTAGTGTA